ATGTACGAGTATTTTGATTTGTAGTAATGGCATCACTGGTATTTTCCCACCTTTTTTAGCTTTTAATACTATTTTTCTGAGTTTCACATTTTGTAGACGAGGGTGGGCACCACATTTTCAGTGCTTAGTCTCCCGGATGATCTGTATACTGCACTGTTAATATCTAGTGATATGAACGCGTACTCCTACCTTGACTGTTTTCTTCCTCGTGATAAATATTGATTTAAACACATCTATAAGGCGAGACCAGTTGAGCACAGGTAATAGTGGCTCCATAGATTAGTTGGTATGATGGCTAGCTAGCCCAGCAAACTGTAATTCAATAGTTCAAATTCCTCCATTTGCTATATCGCGTTTTATTTTTGTAACTTGATCTTCATGGTGCAGGGAAATGAGTACCAATGGAGATAGCGGTTGACCGATGCTGTTAATCGGTTCGTCACTATGAGATAGCTTTATACCGCTTTAAACATCCGATTACTGGCATTTAAACAGCGTTTCACCGATTAAAACTATTTTCTGTTAAGAAAAATACTGCTTAATCCTGTCATTGAAATGGTCAGAGCTACCAACAATACGATAACTCTACAATTGTTTCATACTAATGTGTACTGAAACTGAAATCAGAAATTTATTAGAGATAATATCCATTCTAACATGTTGAATTTATCACCTCAAAATCCTGCTTGTAATGCCCAAACTAAAATTCTATTGAATAATAGCGGTTTATAGCTTAAGATGGAGCAAATCGCTATTTCAGAAAGTACCGCAACTAGCTTTTTTGATAACAATTAACATTTATTAATATTAGTTGACCGTTATCTTTACACTGTGAACTGATATTTTGTTTTATGTTCAGTCCCTTTTAAATAGCGATATGTTATTTTCAGTTAAATGAGGTATTTTTTAGTGTGAACCGCTATCTTATATCGATGGAACTTTACGAAAGCGAGCAGCTGCTATCGCAAAAGCAGTTATCCGATATCTGTAATTTTGACCCCCATTTATTCATCATGGGCTGATGGCGTGACCAGGCGTATGATTTCACTCGGAACACGCAAGAACGGATCATCTATCAAGTCATAAATTAACACGAAAGCTCTGTCAACCATGATGGAAATGATATCAGTATTTTTTTATATGTGATCACCTTAGACCAAATAACAAGTCAGATATGACATGTAGACTCCGTAAACCCTGATAGAAACCAACTGACATTTTTTTTCCTATTAGTTGTTGGAAATAGACCGTCAAATTAATTCATGTGATCAGTGTTGGAATGGTCTCATACGATTTCCAGACAAAACCAGTATCAATTGCTATCAGCATAAAAGTCTCTTCGACAATTTTGTTTAACACTATAAACAGGATGCCAGAGAAATCATCAGTCGACAATCTATACACAACAGTAACTTCTTCAGTATGTTTGAGAGTGTTATTTTGCAGCGACAATGGGGATAAAATTCTGACTCAACTGTGTACACAATATTTTAATTTGTTTGTGCGGATTTTTAATCAAATTTGTTTTCACAACGATATTAGAAATCCCACTGACAATATCGTTTAGTTTCGTGTTAATATGTGCGAGTTTAATATCAACAGTTGGTGGACTTCCAAAGTATTTGTTAGCAATTCTGTTCATGTTTCTGCAAAAATTTTAAAAAGTTCCTATTTGATTAGTAAAGTCAGTTTTGAGTGTTGTCATTTCATTGTTGATTGTGGCAAACGAAGTTGTTAATGGAACTTTCTTATCATCTACATACTGTTTGTTGCAGCATCAAAGTCAGACCCTGCTGTTCTAAGATTATTGATGCCATTTTTGTTCATGTTGAGAAATGCACGCCTCATACCACCACGCACTGAGACATGCTTGATTCTTGATCATCGACGTAAATTTTTTGTTGCGGCATCATTATCTCCGGATAGGTTTCCAAAGCCTGTAATCCTCTTTTGGTTCATAAATATGTTGCCTGTGAATAAATCACCAGCTTTGTTTACATAATCGTTAACTGACCTACCGGAATCTTGTTTCTTACCTTGATTAATGAAAGTAACGATATGATCAACAACCGCGGCAGGAATTCGTACAAGTATATCTGACAGTTGTACATTACCTGTCTTTAATTTTCTTTTTTTGTCCTGGAAAACAACGAATTCATTTTAATCTACACTTGTGATAGTTAATAAATTATTGATCTCATTTATGAGCTGATCAAGAGCTGATAGTCTTTATAAATCACGTTGCTGAGATTTATTTGACGAATATATCAATAAGGTTCCAAATGTTGTATAGTTCGTTATACCTATCGTCTTACATAAAATTGTTGGTTTTTTGTGACACAAATGTATACAACAACGACGGCGAAAATATTAAATTTTGATACCGAACGATTGGTGAAACATAGACATAATAATGAAATTCCAGTTTGCCATTAGCTTATTGTTGGTCGCACAGGATCGGGTAAAACAATTTTTTTCTTAAATCATTAGCTCAACGATAAGGTGTATATTTACACAATCCCCAACAGGACAAATACGAATTATTACGAATAAATTTCGTGATAATTTTGATGCTGGTGATAATATCATTTTGATACGACAACCAGAAGAACTTGTTCCAGTGAACGAACTTGATTCTTCCGAGCATAAAATAATCGTCTTAGACGATATTCTGCTAAACAAGAAGCTCAGATCTTAATTTTCGTTATCGCGCAATAAAAGATTCAATTCTGTTTATCTTGCCCAAGTTTTTTTTACAATGTTGATAGATTTATTAGACGAAATACTGGTTGTTTCATATTATTTCACGAACTGGACAATGTTTATGTTAGAAATATCGCAAAAGAACAATGTGGTGATGTCCTAAAAGATAAGTTTATCAAATTATATCATTGAGTAATCAAAGACAAATACAGTTTCTTTCTATTTGATAAACTAACGTGTGATCCAGCTAAAATGTTTCGCTGTTGCATCGACATGCTTTTATAATCTAATTTTGTAAAGCGTATAGAAAATAATAAACGAGTATAAGCGAAGAATCGAGTTCCTAAAAAATGTTATTAAAACTCGAGCAGCTTTTAAGAAAAAAGTGGAAGAAGCTCTATGTGGACAAGTTCAAACAAAGGAAGAAACTGCTAAATGTTTCAAATTTGATATCGAGGCAGCACTTTGCACGCAACCAAAAATATCAACATTGTCTTAGCAAACTTGAAAGAAAAAGAAGCTGGTAACAAAATCGTATAGATCGATAACGAAATAATTGACATACTAAATCATCTAAGATTGAGCGGATTACTGACATCGTCCGTGAACGAAATTTTACATAGTGATCTTTTCTATATTGTCACTAACATCACTACATTATTGCTTGATTGATCGAAAGCAACAGAAAATAGCGTAAACTTTTCCATTTATTACAATCAGCCAAAAGATCATAATACTGCAAAACAATATGAAATTGGATTAACTCTTGTAGTTGCTGAAATGCTATGGCTAACTTACATATAGGAGTAAATTATGAATTTGCAATTGTTTCAATAAGAAACACGCAGTGGAAAACAATAAAAATTCCACAAGGAGCTTATACCATTACTGATCTAAACAAAGTGATAAAAGAGCTCATAACAAGATCTGGTGGTATAGCTGATGATTTTGAGCGAACACCAAATTATAACATACTACGAGTTACTATAACATTAAAAATATGTCAGTTCATTTTTTGTCACCAAGAAGTATCGCATCACTGATAGAATTTGAACATAAAACATTATTTTGATCCTAATGAATAAGCTACGGAATATAACGGTGAACTGCCAGTAAATATAACAGAAGTAAATACGATATGAATAAACTGCTCTATTGTATCTGGGTCTTACTCAGCCAAAGGCAGTAAAGGACAAACAATTTACAGTTTCTCGCCAGATGTTCTACCAGGATGGATCGTACAAATTAATCCAGGTCAAATTATCTATTATCCAATTAATCTCGAAAATGAAATAACAAGTATTACAATGCAATTAACAGGATAATCTGGTTGAAAATAGATCTCAACAACGAAATTGTCACTTCTTATTTACAGTTACGCACTATAGCATGATCGATTTTGTGAGCCTATATTTTATAGACAAAGATGAGACGAAGAAAAGTTAATAGAAAAAAACATCATAGTTTGATTTTTTGGAGATATGGTTACTAAAATTATACAAAATATAGAAAATATACGCGTAAATCAGCACCAAATGCACTTGACGCAGGTAAAGCCTTCGACAGGAGCAGCTTCTTTGGAGGGTACTGCAGTAGTATGAATGAACGCTGATAAGATTAGAGGACCTTTCACATCAGAAAAAAGTTATCAAATATTGTGCCAATAGAAGAAACAAAACGAGCTATGATAGCTACAACAAAAATACAATATTATCAACACGTGGGAAGAAATATCGCGTAAACTTGCAAAGAAAACAACGCGGACGTCCCAAGCTACCTTTTAATTTTGTGTAGCGATCATAAAATAAATGTTAGCTATAATTATCTTGATCTTTCCAAACAATATGATACTGACGACGCTGTAACATAATTAGAATACGTCTAGTATCTAGACAAAAACTAGAACGAACCAAATAAATCCGGTGTTAGAACTTTTAAATACACGTGACGAGGCTGTGTTTCTACCATCTCATAAAGCAGCATTATAAGTGCGTGGGAAAATAGTAACTGCGATAGGCGGTGATATTACAGCTGGCTCAAACATTGCTCTTGTAAATAACGGTTGCAGCTTGTTTAAAAGTGCACGATATCAACCGGCCAATAACACTGCTGAAGATATTTTGATGTGTTGTGACGTGATTATGATTTTTAACGTAGCTTTAACATTTTTTCAGTTATATTGCTACGATGTGTGCACTGGGGCATCATGCCGCAGGCCGGCTAGTCCTAACACTAACCTCTTAATACTGAAAGTTAAGCGATGCTGCTGTTAGTACCATTATTGTAAGTCTTTGGTATGACTCAACCGGGGATCGAACCCACGAGTTCCCGCATCCGAGGCGGATGCTCCAATCACTATGCCACCGGAGCACTTTCCTACAGCAAGTACAATATTAAACATCGTTTCGTTTAGCGATGATTTTTCTAGATCAGTTGCCACAAACATGATGTGGTTTAAATATACATTGTTTGGGACAGCTGTTTTGAGAGAGTTTCGTACTGGTGCTGATAATCATGCTGCTTATAACAATAATCTAATCGCCAATCCAGCTGTTGATGATGCCGCTGTGATAGGTAGTTCGATAAGATTAGCTGTTACAAATATAAGACGACAGCAGTATAGCAAGAGATTTGCCAAACGAAAAGCGTTTGCTGCAGAATCTCGCCAAATAACGATGATGATACCGTTAAGCACAATCTTTGGATTCTGCCGTGATTACAACAACGTTTATCGAGGAATAAAACATACACTTATTTTAGATCGAGCTGATCATAACGATTGTATAATGCATGCCGATGGGGTGGCTGAAGACCAGTTTGCTATTACAATATTAGCAAAACAGGATTCATCAAACAGCCATTTCCAACGCGACTTATTACATTTGGCGTGTTACAACTACAGATAGCGAACAACTACATCGGCACTTGTTTGTTGTATTTTAAAGACAATCACGTCGTAACGATCATGAAATGAATAACTCCGTATTGTATAAGCCAGATGTTAGACGAATATTTGTTAGAGGGTAAATTGCGGACAATATCTCGAACGTGCAATCGAATGTAATTTTACTGTTGACACCTCAAGAAACATCTCTCGACCGTACATGTATCTTATGGAAGCAATACAAAAATATCAGGACGCAGACAGGGGATCTCAAATATAATTAGGGACATTTCCTTCTCTTTACCCTATCTTTGACTTTGATATATCTAAACATTCTGAACGAGTTATCGGATTGACTGCTAATATCTAGGTTACATGGACACTGTGCGCTCTGCCAACCGAACAGTTTAACGAATACACGCTAGTGGTCACTTGGACTTGTGGCAGGATCTGCTACAACGTAAAAATTTTTATTCGTTTAGATTGTCTCGAAGCAAGAACCAAACAGCTCCTTTTCTATATTTCTCTATGCTTGTTCATCGATTTATTTGGCATTTTGATATTACAAAGGTAGCATTCTTATTTGAAGATTGCGTTTCAAAATAATGTACCTGTTTATTTCCTAATAATTCCGAAGTTTATTTGTTTTATTAAATAAAGATTCGTGTTTAATTTCTTGCAGTCTTGGATGGGCTTCTATCATTATCATCTTATTCACTCCCTCCCTGAGTTGCATTTTTTATTCTACCTTGTAGATCTATCTTCCATGTTAATGTAATGCAGAGAAATAATGAAGACGAGGAAATAACAATACAAATAGAAAGCAAACTATGAGATGCAATTGAAATAAAAAGAATCAAATCTGGCAAGCAGAGCACACACCACACACATCCCAATCAATTTACACAAGCGTTCAGGTTGTCAAAAACAACAAGTTTGTATCCCCTTTTGAGGATAAAGAAATTGATAAATAACTTTGTTATATTGAGAAATTTTTTAAAATTTGAAATAGTCAAGATAGCATTAAACCTTGTTATTACAAAAAGTACTTCTTGGCAGAGTTCATGATATCTGCATTTCCCTCTCAACACAACAGTGTTGATTAAGATGTGGTTCATGAATATACATTGAAGAGTTGAGATGGTGATGTTCAGTCAAAACGGTTAATAAATATTATGCTAACCTCAAACAGCTTATATTAGTTAAAGAGTTCATTAATTCCATCCATAATAATGTCAGTATCAATCCAGATAAGAAAACAGTGGAATCTTTGCAAGATGTTGCAAGACGATTATTCTTCGATGCACATAGTTTCATTTGCTAATGTGTCTTTCTCTCAACAGTTTGATCGTTTCAAAATCTCAATCTTTCATAACTTTTAAAAATAAAACTTATGATAAGACAGATTAGACATCCTTATCTCTTCCTATGTGATTATTTTTTCTGATTGCTACAGGTTAAAAAGTAAGCAACATAATCAAAACACAACTATTACAAATGTTCTTTTTTATAAGAGATCTGAGTCACTTCCTGTTTTGAAAAAATACATGAGTTGGGTTAAACAAAACCCAGTATGGTTTTATTATGGAGAATTATACACCACTCATGTTGAAAAATGGAGAAAGATTTTTTCTACATATGTAGAGAAAATAATTAAAATATATTCCAGAAGGAAGAAATATCTAATTTGTCTTATTTCCAGTGGATATTATCATTCTGTATTAACATGTTACTGACGAGATACTGCCGGTCGGTTGCTTATATAAGTCTTTCATGTTTATGATGTGCAATAAACCAGGCCGTTGTCTTTAGTTTTTATTCAAAATATTATGACTCATTTTGTTTTAATAATGCTCTATTACTTTATTTTAACTAGTAACTTGTGTCACGTTAACATATCACTTGCCTAGTTTGTTAAACTTTGTACCCTATGAAAGCGTTAAAGGGGCTTGGGGAGGGAAACAATGACCCCCGTAACGCCGGTCGCAAAGGGCGCAGTGTGAACATTTTAAGGAGATATGGGTTGATGGCTCCTCCTACCCTACTTTTACCAGTATGCTTCTTAACTTTCTGTTATTAGATAAAATCTATCAATATCGAAGACAACTTTTCAAGTTAGAAATACGCAATAAAGAACTTAAACGACTGAAATATTGAAATTATTCACACGGAATATCACAGGAGGACAATAAAGACACAACATTGCAGTATTCAAGTACCACTCCTGACACCTTTAGTAATATATTCTGTCAATGATAAAGATGCAAGTCAAAACTACTTCCACCATAAGTAGAAAATACAAATATATAATAATGTGTGTCTGAGTAGTCATGATATACTCAGGGCCGGAGAGAGCGATCCTGGGCCCTGGGATAAGAAACACCAGGGCCTCACATAGTTCTTGCTTTAAATAATTTTTCTTCTATAAAATTAAAAAAATGTTCATTGGCCGAGGCCCATATAAGGTCATTTGCCTCTGGAATATATCCCCGGTTGCCATCCCACCCCCAGTCGGCCCTGGGTATACTAATATAGTCTTCATGCCTAGAATTATGGTAAGATTCCCTCTGCAACAACTACGTCACGCAACATGGGAGTGTCGGATTTAAATCTCTCTCTCTCTCTCTCTCTCTCTCTCTCTCTCTCTCTCTCTCTCTCTCTCTCTCTCTCTCTCTCTCTCTCTCTCTCTCTCTCTCTCTCTCTCTCTCTCTCTCACATTGTACAAACTAAAATATCACCCATACTGATCAGACTACCTCCAATGTTGGTAATAATAATCCAACTTTAATTACTATTAGTATTCATATCCTAATAATTTGAAGCATGCGGTTGCTTTTATATGATACGATGAACACCAATGATATAATACCTAGACCCAAATCAATACGTAAGTCATTATTAGGTAGCTACCTTCTCTTTTTCTCGTGGGTGGGTGTAAACATAATTTCAAATTTCATAAACATACAATTACCTACCTGAAATATTCCTTATGCTTTCCTGGTAATTTTGGTACCTTCTAAAAGCAAATATTTTGTTAAACAAAAGTTTGTGCTTTCTTAGGTCTGCTGGGCTATTCACCGCTGGTATTATTCAGAAACTAAGAACATATACATGACCCATCGCCATATTGCCTCATAATGGACTTTGCGCGTGAACGCATGATAATACGTATAGGCATTTGTCTAGTAACTCTTCCTAGAACCAGTCTTTAAGAGTTAGGTATGGTTCTTGTTCACCTACCAGACTGGGCCAATAAATTCGATGCATCATTAGTATAGACTTAGATCTGTCAAAAGATTATATAACCAGACATGCTATACATTATTTTTTAGGTAGGTTTGCTTGTGATAAATGGTTGGTCTAACTAAAAAAACATAATAATACTGATAGACATTGAAGAGTTATATGTTGGAGTTGGAATGGATTTTGGGAAGGTGTAAACATAAATCCACGAAATCCCATCTAATTCTCTGCTAAGTAACTTTGGTAGCCATTCGAAAGTACCATGTGACCAAATAATGCCAACTATACAGTCATCGGTGTGATTACTTCTCCGACGCTGTATATTTTCTTCAGATCAATAACATTTCTTTATGCAGGCATATATGGTGGTTGATGAACAGGTATTTTGTTACTGCGTTGAATTGTTCCATATGTTCATATCACTGCATTTATAATGTTGATTCATGATTACATTTAACTTCAAAATATTTAGGAAATTATTTGGAACTTGCTTAGTCCACAATCTTAAAATCTACTGTAGCATGATTTTGCAGATACAAACGTAGGCCCTTACACAGAAAGTTTATATCATACAGATTCGTAACGCTGTGGCAACACTTTCAATATAAATACAAATATTATAAATATGAATTGCATCTCTCTCTCTCTCTCTCTCTCTCTCTCTCTCTCTCTCTCTCTCTCTCTCTCTCTCTCTCTCTCGTTATGCAAAATTGACATGTAGGCCTACTTATATATTCAACTACATGTAATTAAATAAATCAAGTATTGTTTTGCTAGTATAACACAGGATATCAAAGAAATAAAGGACGAAAATAGAAATCGTTTTCAACATTAAGTAATTAAGTAAATGTTTCATACTTTTTGTAGAACAAACTATATAAATTATAAATTGGCTTCTCTGGTGCAATTTACTCACCTTCAGCCAATAATATTAGAGATTTAATACTAAATTTGTGCCAAATTACCGAATACTTGACTTAGAATTTTGGGATTTGTGTCTATCTTTATTTTTTTAGATAGTGATATAACAGTTATTCAAAACGTAGCTAAAAATATCGATCGGATAACTTTTCTACGTCCACCCGGTCAGTATCATTAAGTTCTTTGCGAAATATGCTCACTTTAATTATTTTTTCAAGCAAACTTAAATCTATGAAATCATTGCTAATCCTTGAACGCAGTGAAACATTGTGTATGTTTTTATCCCTACGATGCCAAATTTACTTTGAGATGATGTAATGGAAACAGAAGAGGATATTATTTAACACTAAAACACATTTCTTTATTTTAATCACTGAATTGCTGACGAATTAAACTGCAGTAGTGGTTGTAAATATCAATTGAAATGTAGCTAAATAAGTGTAATCTTAAAATATTAGGAGAAATACTAATTGAGAGATAACGAATGAGCCTGATTTTATATCTCAGATGCATGCATTTTCCTTTTCAAACAAAAATCTCAGTATTTGACATTTAAACGATTATTAGCTAGTTTCAAAATAAAGAAGTTTATCGTGGATAGAACTAAAGTGAAATACTTTTTTAACGGAAAGACTAGTACCCTGTAGATGGTGCTGAAAATCCCTCCATATTTCGAAAACTCCCTCCTTTACATTTAAATAAAAAAATTTCAACATGGATGATTTATATTTCAGCACATGACGTAATTATTTATTATATTCTTCCATTTATTTACATTTGTATTCATACACACATGAATCGCAACATTTTGGCTTTGCTTTTCCTTACAGATTGTGTTACCTGTTATCCTCGAAACCATCCTGATATTTGATATAAAAGTTAATTTAAACCATGATTGTGCTTGTAAAACACGTATGGACCCACCACTGGCTACACTGTATCACCATGACATCTGCGTTTGAAGACAGATATACCTGGCAAACTTCATTCGTCTTCCTCCAGTGAGTTTGGCTTGCTCTTGCAAGATTTGTTTGTTTCTTTGTTTGTTTGTTTGTTTATTTGTTTGTTTATTTGTTTGTTTGTTTAAGAAAAAGAGTATAATTTCCAAACTTTTATAAATGTGCGTGAAGACAAATTGTCTGGAAATGACCAGGTTATTTATATCTGTTTTACAAGTGTACAAGCAAACTTTCAGATTGATTCATGGGTCAAAGCCTTATATCGTTACTTATTTAAATAAGTGTAAACGTTTTGCAAGATCAATGCAAATACAAAATTGACAATTATTGTCTTTCTTTTACGACTCATTTGTAACTCTGCACAACGTACTAATTTGTCACTGCTCAATTAGGATATTCGACTTTTCTTGTCTTATAAAGAAAATAAGCTCATTTTCTGTGCTATTCTTTGACAAGGTTTTTATATTTATATTCCACTTGTAAATAAGCAGTTATTCAAGTCTTATGGTAAATAATATATCAAGACAAAGCAATATTATAGAAAATTTTAAGTGGAATATGTTATGTCTCCCTCGACCAACCAATGTTAAAGTAATAAACAGTCTGAGATAAGTAATTTGAAAAGTTATTTCTGTAATCGACAATCACTCCCCAACTCCTATTACATGCTCCTGAACACCTAAAAAAATAGTTTCGTGGTCACGCTGTCGACTATTAAAGTATCCTATCAAGTCAGAACGAATGTAACAATTATAAATTCACAGCTAATTCTATACGTGTGTTGTTTCTTGCTATCTTTTCATAGTAACACAATTATGATGCTAATGAAGGTGGCAAATAATAATAATAATAATAATAATAATAATAATAATAATAATAATAATAATAAATGCAAGGACAACAACAAAAATACTATAAGTAAAAAATAGTAAAATAAGTAAAAAATGAAGAGAAAATGTTTTAATATCAAAGGTGCTTTGGTACTGGCTGTTCACTACTATCTCTTGTATAATACGTTTAAAATCAAATTGCCTTCTGGTTAAACCTGCTACATGTAAGTTGTATTATCATGACGACCGATATTTATCAGTCTCCTTGGTAATATTAACATTAGATTACTTTTTCCTTCCGTGTTATTTTTATGTGTGATGCCAGTTTTTATTATTCAATTGCAAATTTCGAGCATTTTAATGAACGCATGCAAGGTATTTTCAACAATACATACACCTTAAATTTACTCTATGCAGGTAGTGAAGGACGAACCTTGGGTATATATGTAAAGATATTAAACTCATGGAAGGAAGAGGTCAATTTGACACCGTAATCTCTCTACATGTATACTCGACTTAGTTGTTCATCTATGATAAATACAATCTACAGGAAGAGGGTGCATTTTTTGAAAAATCTGAAGGCAATGCCATATAGTAATATGTGTCAGTGGCTCCGTAGCTCAGCTGGTTAGAACGTCAGTCTAATAAACTGGAGGTCGAGGGTTCAACCCCTTCGGAGCCTCAACACGTAAAAAGACAATCTACAGGAAGAGGGTGCATTTTTTGAAAAATCTGAAGGCAATGCCATATAGTAATATGTGTCAGTGGCTCCGTAGCTCAGCTGGTTAGAACGTCAGTCTAATAAACTGGAGGTCGAGGGTTCAACCCCTTCGGAGCCTCAAAACGTTCTTCTTTTCATCTCGCTCATCTGTAGAGACCATTTCATTGTTCTTGTTCCTATTTCGAAAATTATTGATTCGCTTGAATAATTATCACTATTCAGTACCTGCAAAGGTCATTGACTTTATATTTTGGTCTAAATTTACATTGCTTTTATGCGACTTAAGAAAACTCTCTTTTTGACATGCATTTTTTAAAAACCATGCAATTTTGTAAGATATTGTAAATAAATATTGATTACAATTGTAGCTGCATTTTAAAATGGTAATATATATATATATATATATATATATATATATATATATATATATATATATATATATATATATATATATATATATATATATATATATAATTTTCTAGTTACTGTAGTCTTATGTTTAATATAAGTTAATGGATTTTTTAAATAACCAATCAAAATAACCATTCAAATTACGTGTTTGGAACATTCTCCAATAATGTATAATAAATAATGTTAAGCCTTTCAAGGAATGCGTCCAACTGTTCAATATATTCGACTGTTTAATTCTTGTGTTTGGCCATGATACCTTGAAGACGAGAAACAATTTATTTCTCATAGCAAGAAAGTAGTTTGAATTCAAATGCACGAACATTGTTGCCACTACTATGTCCGGTTGCTAGCAGATTATTTAAGTAATATAGTTAATTGTCTTATCATCCAGTGCCCTATGTATCCATTAAGCACACCAATCACATGCTTGTTCACAAGCCCAAAAGGGGCACTAGAAAAAAATTTAATTATTGATGATAAGATTGAATGAACTTATATATGACCCTTTTAATCTGCATGTACGAGTATTTTGATTTGTAGTAATGGCATCACTGGTATTTTCCCACCTTTTTTAGCTTTTAATACTATTTTTCTGAGTTTCACATTTTGTAGACGAGGGTGGGCACCACATTTTCAGTGCTTAGTCTCCCGGATGATCTGTATACTGCACTGTTAATATCTAGTGATATGAACGCGTACTCCTACCTTGACTGTTTTCTTCCTCGTGATAAATATTGATTTAAACACATCTATAAGGCGAGACCAGTTGAGCACAGGTAATAGTGGCTCCATAGATTAGTTGGTATGATGGCTAGCTAGCCCAGCAAACTGTAATTCAATAGTTCAAATTCCTCCATTTGCTATATCGCGTTTTATTTTTGTAACTTGATCTTCATGGTGCAGGGAAATGAGTACCAATGGAGATAGCGGTTGACCGATGCTGTTAATCGGTTCGTCACTATGAGATAGCTTTATACCGCTTTAAACATCCGATTACTGGCATTTAAACAGCGTTTCACCGATTAAAACTATTTTCTGTTAAGAAAAATACTGCTTAATCCTGTCATTGAAATGGTCAGAGCTACCAACAATACGATAACTCTACAATTGTTTCATACTAATGTGTACTGAAACTGAAATCAGAAATTTATTAGAGATAATATCCATTCTAACATGTTGAATTTATCACCTCAAAATCCTGCTTGTAATGCCCAAACTAAAATTCTATTGAATAATAGCGGTTTATAGCTTAAGATGGAGCAAATCGCTATTTCAGAAAGTACCGCAACTAGCTTTTTTGATAACAATTAACATTTATTAATATTGGTTGACCGTTATCTTTACACTGTGAACTGATATTTTGTTTTATGTTCAGTCCCTTTTAAATAGCGATATGTTATTTTCAGTTAAATGAGATATTTTTTAGTGTGAACCGCTATCTTATATCGATGGAACTTTACGAAAGCGAGCAGCTGCTATCGCAAAAGCAGTTATTTGATATATGTAATTTTGACCCCCATTTATTCTTTATGGGCTGATGGCGTGACCAGGCGTATGATTTCACTCGGAACACGCAAGAACGGATCATCTATCAAGTCATAAATTAACACGAATGCTCTGTCGACCATGATGGAAATGATATCAGTATTTTTTTATATGTGATCACCTTAGACCAAATAACAAGTCAGATATGACATGTAGACTCCGTAAACCCTGATAGAAACCAACTGACATTTTTTTCCTATTAGTTGTTGGAAATAGACCGTCAAATTAAATCATGTGATCAGTGTTGGAATGGTCTCATACGCCATTTAACGTCAAAGCGTCTCAAAATCTGTTTTGCAGTTCTAAATGAGGTAACAATTTGACCTACATGGTCACTAACGCGTCCTTAACGTAGCAAATAAATACTTCCTTTGTACCTTAACTTCAACTTAATCAGCAACTTTGGAATGAAAGCTTTTGAAGCGCGTTCTCGTAATTCGTGTTGATTATTTGTGACTTTTCTTTAAGTTACGTATCGGCTCGTTCAGAGTAACACAAAGAAAGATTGAAGACTCAACAAGCTTTGTAAATTTTAAGAAAATTAATTTGTTTCCCTAGAAACATAGAAAAATGTAAATATGTGAAATAAGACTTACAATTTACGAAAACTATCTACATTGTTTGTTCTAAAGATATAGAACGTAAGTCCTGTGAACAGTTTTAAATTAAAACAGTCTGAAGTTTAGTTCCGATCCAAGATGGTGGACGATAACGTCAGACGAAGGCTAACACAAATGATCCAGAATTAGCACAGTGAAGCACAGTTTGTATTGTTCCGTTCCGATTTAGAAGATCTTCAGAAGAAAAAATTCTTTATACAAACCAGTAGTGTTGTTCTCCAGAAAATTAATTATTCAGAAAGACGAATTGCAATTAGCTCCACTAACAAAACACGTGTTGCTCTAAGTAGACACTCGAACAGACAACTTGTTCTAGCACAAAAATACCTTTTTTAAGGCAATAGAAGTTGTGAATCTAAGATGTTAAAATTGGCTACGACTCTGTCTTTTACTCTGACTGTGTCTGTGACTGAACTTTCTGAGCAAGCGGATTCACGGCACAAAATTATAATGTCTGCCATCAGTCACATATCTGTCCTGCACGATTAGCAATATGTAATTTGCATAAACTAACATGTTTATGATTAAAATAAGAACATGTTGCAGAAACCAAACATCAGGATTATGCTAACACTTTTAGTAATGATTTCCAATTTTTGTTGTTTATTTGTTGGTGATGGGGGTGGAGAAGGGCGGCGAGAGGCGTATCCAATTTGAGTCTCTATTTGGAAAGAATAAGCAAAATGAGCAATAGAATACACGATATATTCATTTTGAAAGAAATAATATCAACATTAATTACATTTCCGATGATATGCTTCAAGAATAAACTCACTTAAAATAGCAAAAAGATGGTCCTGAATTTTGAGTTTAAAAATACGGTTATTTCCTGAATCTGTATGGTTACACATGTGACATGCTTTGTTGTAAGGGGGGACAAAAAAGATTTATTGTTCAAAATTATTTCCATAATTTTGTATGACTAAACTTACGACATATTTGTCCACTTTTGTTAATTCCGGTTTTGTTGATTGAAACATTATTCCTACATTCCTAATATGCTAGGGTGCCTTTCCAGCGCGTTTATCTATAGGCAAAATGTTTGTCAGATAACTTTAGCCAAATGTTTAGAAGTTATGTTATTTTTCCTAAGTCTTCATTTCAATCAATACAAATATAAGCCATCTTTTCCTTAAGATCATGCCATATAGACATTCCTGTCATCCTCAGGTACATATCATTTGATTAACATAACTCATGATATGTTAACGTTGTGTCATCCAGTCTTCCGGAAGGACTTGATTAGTGTTTCTCTTTGTCTTTACAATTCTCCCAGAACTTTCACTTTAATTGTTACATGTGACAAGTGAAGCCCTTAGTGGTTGTAGATTGCAACAATCTTGAATGGCATATCCTAGAACACTGTCCTACTGTATTAGTGAATGAGTACAATACCACTCGCCTGCAAGGATAGTAGTAATTCATGTTTGAGAAAATATTATTTCAGAACGATATATTAATCTAAAAGGCGAGGATAGTACTAGGCTCAAATCTCAAAGATCTCAAAACGGTCACGGTAGGGTCATAGTAGTAAGGGGAACAGGCAGATTCTAGCACGAGAACCTACTTGCACCCATCTATACCATCCAAACATATACAAATTCCCCTCTTGAGACTCCAAAATTCCAACCCTTAAACGATTTTCTAAAAACCAAAAGGCAGATTCTGACCCAGATATAATCATAGACTTTTTACTACTGAAATTTTCAAACATTATTTATATTGTCATAAACTTTCATACATTTTTGATAATCTTTTTCATACTTACTAAATTCGATTGGTAGAATATATGTTAACATACTGTCAATAATACGAATCTCACGTATCAAATCGTCCATATCATATCTTACACCTCTCAAGTAAGATGGTATCAGATCAAATAATCTTTTTGTAAGTTATATTGGCTGTTTGCAAGCAATTTTTAATTGTAAGTCGAGGTTCAATCATCTTTTTACACGCTGCAGCAAGAGAAACACAGATTCCCGATATTATTAACAAAAATCGGTTTAATGATGCTCCACTTGAAATTATACCAGAGCTGGTCATTAGCAGTGGTAAATATATTATATGAATTATTTTGTTATAGTGTTTGTAACATTTTTTCACAACCATAATTTTTTAAGATAATATTTGTAATATTGTATAAATGCGAACATATATTGTTTTAGAATATTTTTTAAAATATGATTCAAATCATCTTTACTTTTTCATTATAATATTTTTATATAGTCACCAGGTTTGATTAGAAAATTAACTGCGGTATTTCAGCAACGATTTCCAGACAAAACCAGTATCAATTGCTATCAGCATAAAAGTCTCTTCGACAATTTTGTTCAACACTATAGACACGGTGCCAGAGAAAACATCAGTCGACAATCTATACACAACAGTAACTTTTTCAGTATGTTTGAGAGTGTTATTTTGCAGCGACAATGGGGATAAAATTCTGACTCAACTGTGTACACAATATTTTAATTTGTTTGTGCGGATTTTTAATCAAATTTGTTTTCACAACGATATTAGAAATCCCACTGACAATATC